ACATGGCTCAGGACCATCGTATCTGCGAGACCGCCTACTGCCATACACCTCCCAACGGCCGATAAGATCCCACAGGGTGGGCCTCCTTTGGATGCCATTAGCCTGACAATGTCGGCTGGCGGGCCCCCAGAGGAGAGCCTTCTCTGTGGCTGCTCCAACCCTGTGGAACCAGCTATACCCAGAGGTCCGGACCTCACCCACCGTCATGGCCTTCAGAAAAGCTGTTAAAACCTGGCTGTTCCGGCAGGCCTGGGGCTGTTGATCTTAGTGTTAAGGTCCAGCCCCGATTAGAAATGTATGCGTGTTGGGAATTTTTAAATTATTCTTTTATTTTGCTTTTCTTTTTTCTTTCTTTGTAAGCCGCCCAGAATCCTCTGGGATTGGGCGGCCAAGAAATTAAATAAATAATAAATAAATAAATAAATAAATAAATAAATAAATAAATAAATAAATAAATAAAGCCATGTGCTGATCTGCATAATACTAGCCTTGCCTCTGGGATTGGGCGGCCAAGAAATTTAATAAATAAATAAATAAATAAATAAATAAATAAATAAATAAATAAATAAATAAATAAATAAATAAATAAATAAATAAAGCCATGTGCTGATCTGCATAATACTAGCCTTGCCTGTGGTTTTTTTTACAGAATAAAAGCAATGTCAGCTTAGAAAAAAAAAGAAGAGTTAAAAAAGGGGATAGTTAAAAAGAAAGAGAAGAGATAGAAATGAGAGGGGGGGGGGGAGACAAGGCAGTAGTTACACAATGAAACAAACAAACTGTTAAAAAAGTTATGATTGCTTACCAAGCACATCTAAATTACATTAAAGTAACCAAAATATCTTTACAAAAAAACAAGGAAAAATGGGCCATTTGGGGGGGGGGGTCCCACCCCTCCAGGAGCATCAAATTGCATGCATAGCCTTTAGAAGACTTATAGAGTACTCCTGGGGATTGGGGAGGGGGGCAAATTAAGCCAAAAATGGCCCATTTTTCACTCATTTCTGCCTTCCCCAGCCCCCAGGAGCTCTCTGAAAGCCTTCTACAAGCTCTGCTTGGTGAAAGGGGGGGGGGTTTCGGGAGGCAAAAAAAAATGCTGTATTCAGTGTATAAGATGCACCCAGATTTTCAGCGTCTTTTTTGAGGGAAAANAAATAAATAAATAAATAAATAAATAAATAAATAAATTATTCCTCCTCCTTCTACACATTCTCCTCCTCCATCCTCCTCCTCACGCTCCTTCTTCTCCTGCTCCTCTCCCTCCTTCTCTTCTCCTTCCTCTTCTTCCTCCTCTATCCCCCTCCTCCCCTCCATTCTCCTCCTCCTCCTTCTGCTCCTCCTCCTTCTCTC